CGCCCAGCTTACTGCCTTCTCCCCACCTTTCTGCGCTACCCTGTACCTCATCGCCATGCACCTGCCTGACCGCTTAGCTACTGCCCGCAACCACTTCCTTAGTCAGCACCCTGCCGACCTCACCCTGAGCACCTTTGTCACTACTCTGTCTGAGATAGAGACTCGCCAGCACACTATCGCTCAGTCGAGCGGTGTTGCGGCAGTACCTATCTTTCAGGGCCGTGCCCCCTCCCAGTGCACGTACGCTGACGTCTCCGCCACTGTTGCCACAATTGCGCCTGCACCTGAGACAGCAGCTGCGGCGTACCCGCAGCAGCGCCAGCGCCGGGGCCGTCGTGGCCGCAAGGGAGGACGTGGAGGTGGCGCTTGTGGTGGTGGTGGCGGGGACAGTGGTTCTGACGAGGGGACTGGTGCTGGTGCCCAGGAGCAGCAGCAGTCGCCGCAGTCGCAGCCACCGCAGCAGCAGCAGCCGTCCCAGTAGCAGTAGCAGCAGCAGCAGCCGCAACAGCAGCCGTGGGCTCGTCTCCCGCATGGGTGGCCAGGAGCCCCTGGCGATGGTGGTCGTGGTGGTGGCCCTCGCAGCTCGGCGTCCACCGGCAGCTTCCGTGCTGTGAGCTGCCAGTACCAGCTTCAGACCGGGCCTCTGCGTGGCACGGTGTGCCGCCGCTCGCACCCCACCGCTCGCTGTTTCCGCTGCCTCGACGACCTCTTCCGTCGCCGCTTTGGTCCCGCCCCGGACCTCCCTGACTGGCGCAGCCTGCTGCGCCACGGTGTGCCTGTGTTTGACTTAGACATGGATTAGATTAGTTCTGCCTTGCATTCTCTTCATGCTGACGCTTCGAGTGTTTCCGGATCGTATTACTCTGTGTTCTCTAGTTTAGGCGTAGCACCTGTGTGTAGTCCAGACTCCCCTGCTGCGTCAGGCGTAGGACAGCTTGCTTTGTCTAGCCTCGGCTCTACCCTTGCTCCTCTATCGTCGGCCACTACGGCGTCGCTGTCCTTCACTCTAGACTCCGGTGTGTCAGCCTGTTTCTTCCACGACCACGCCGCCCTCACGCCGCTTGCTGCGCCTGCTGCTGTCACCCTTGCGGACCCCTCCTCTGGTCCTGTTGTTGCTCGCAGCTACACTACCCTTCCCTGTCCGGCGGTTCCCTTGGGTTCCCTTACAAGCCTGGACATCCCTTCGTTCTCCAGTAACTTATTTGGTATCGGCTGTCTTCAGGACCTCGGCATGACCACTACGTTCCCTAGTCATGAGCGCTACGCGGTCTATTCCGAGGCCGCCTTAGATGCCCCCCTTGCGACGTTCCCCCGGGACCCTGTGTTTGGCCTGTTTACGTTGGACACTGCTCCCCCCCCGGTGGGCGAGTTCTCCTCCGGTTCTGCGTCCACCTAGGTAGCTGCTGCCTGCTCGTTTCGGTCGTCACGGTTGTGGCACCACCGCCTAGGTCACCCTGCGCTCCCCCGCCTGCGTCACATGTCTCAGCACGGTCTAGCCCTCGGCCTCCCTGCGTCGCTCCCTGCTCTCCCCCCCTCGCCTGCGCCGCCGTGCACGCCCTGCGTCGAGGGCCGGCTGCGCCATGCTCCTCACTCCTCCTCACTTCGCCCTGCCACTGCACCCCTTCAGAACCGGACGTCTGGGGCCCAGCCCCTGTCCTTGGACCGCGTCGCGAGCGCTACTTTCTAGTGCTCGTTTACGACTGCACGCGCTACACCTCGGTGTTTCCCCTGGAGTGGAAGGCCGACGTGCCTGACGTTCTTATGCCGAGATGGGTCGCTGAGCGACGCATCGGTTTGGTCATGGAGGTGGCTCGTACCTCCATGATCCATGCTGGTGCACCCCATTTTCTATGGCCGTTCGCCATTCGCTACACCGCTCACCAGCTTAACCTTTGGCCTCGCTCTCAGCGGCCGCAGATTTCGCCGACCCTTCTTTGGACCGGGTTCCCTGCTTTCGCGTCTGCGTTCCACGTCTAGGGCTGCCTCGCTCACGTTCGTGCCTCCGGCACGGACAAGCTCATTGCCCGCACTGTCCCCTGTGTCTTCCTCGGTTTCCCCCTTGAATCGTCTGACTGGCACTTCTATCAGCCGTCGTCTCACCACTTCCTTCACTCCCGTAACGCCACTTTCGACGAGTCTGTCTCCTTTTACCACCGCTTTCCTCACCGAGGTCTCCCGGTTTCTCCCCCCCTGTTTCAGTTTCCCACTCCCCCGGTCGCCCCTGCTCCCCTCCCTCCCCGTCCTGCTTCGTCCGGTGTGTCTCACGTCACTCCCCTCGCGTCGGTTGTCCCGGTCGAGGAGTCGGCTGACTACAGTGGCCCCGCGGCGCAGTTTGCGCCGCCTGCCCCTCCCCCTCCTCCCTCGTCGCAGTCGCCATCGCAGCCGTCGCCGTCACCGCCGCCGCAGCCGCAGCCGTCGTCGCATCCGCAGCCGTACGTGGACTCTGGGGGTGCTGGAGACGGTGAGGAGGGTGCTAGTCATGGGGTTCCTGTCGTGGCTTGTCCCGGCGGGCTCGGGGGTGGCACCGGCGCTTGAGGCGTTTTTCGTTCTGGGGGTGCTAGCGTGGAGTGTACCGGAGGTAGCAGTGGTGCAGCTGGTGGTCCAGGTGTCGGCTTTGAGCAGCAGCAGCAGCAGTCGCCGCCCTTCGCCTGCTCGGCCTTCCCTCCCCAGATCGCTCGCATGCGCCTCCCTCGCCGTCTCCCCCTCTTCCTGTTCACGGTCCTGTGTTTCCTCCGCCGGACTCGTCCCCGACTCGTTTCCCCTCTCGTTCCCCTCCGGTTAATCCTCCTCTGTCTCATGACCCGTCGCCTCCGTCTCACGTCTGGTATCGCCGTCTCTCTCGTGCTCGTCTTGTCTCTCCTGCTCAGCGTTCTCACCCTATGTTGCTTCGTTCCCACGCGTCTCGTCCTCCTCGTTTGCCTTCGCCTCCTCCGTCATCGCTCAGTATCGCGCCTCCCCCTCTGTCTGAGTACCTTCGTGCTGCTCGTCCCCTTGTTCCTTGAGTCCTTGCCTCCCTCGTTACCGCCCCGTCTGTTCCTGTCTCCAGTCTTGATGCTCTTGTTGCTGCTGTCGCTGACTTTGCCTCTGCTCGCCGCCTTGACTTCGCTACCGCTCTGATCTGTGACCCTGTCTATCCTACATCCGTCGGGGGTGCTCCTGCCCTCAGCAGTGACGACTTGGAAGGCCGGCACTACGAGCTTTCTTTCCTGTCCAAGGTTGCTCCCCATCTCTGTTCCATGCTGCTAGTCGCTGAGGGTGACCCCGACGCCTTTGACATCCCGACCCCTCGCACCTACGCTGAGGTGACCTCGGGACCCTGGGCCTCTCAGTGGATAGCTGCCATGGAGCAGGAGATGGCATCTTGGAGGGCTATCGGCACCTACGTTGACGCAGTTCCCCCACATAGGGTGAACGTAGTCGATGGCCGTTTGCTCTTCAAGGCAAAGCGCCCCTCTGGAGAGTTGCCTGTGTTCAAAGCGCGCTACGTGGCTAGAGGCTTCAGTCAGCGAGAGGGGGTGGATTTCTTTCAGACCTTCGCCCCGACCCCGAAGATGACTACTCTTCGGACGCTGCTACACGTTGCAGCACAGCGTGACTACAAGCTTCACTCCCTCGACTTTTCCACTGCGTTTCTTCAGGGCAGCCTACACGAGCAGGTCTACCTGCGCCGCCCTCAGGGCTTCACCGGTACTTTCCCTTCTGGGACCGAGTGGCTCCTACGGCACCCCGTCTACGGCTTGCGACAGGCACCCCCTGAGTGGCACGACACGCTGCGTGCCATGCTAGCTGACTTGCAGTTCTTTCCGTCCTCTGCTGACCCTTCGCTCTTCGTTTGTGCTGGCCAGACTCTGTTCTACATCCTGCTCTACGTAGACGACCTGGTCTTTGCTACAACAAACAGAGACGCTCTGGCCTCTGTGAAGGCTGAGCTGTGAAGACACACCAGCACTGACCTGGGAGAGCTGCACCGCTACCTTGGCCTGCAGATCTCCACGGACAGAGTAGCGCGCACCATCACTCTTACACAGTCATACTTGGTGCGCCAGGTCCTTCAGAGGTTCGGTCTTCAGCTCTCCTCCGCACAGTCCACACCTCTGCCGGTAGACCACAGGCTCTCAGCTCCAGTTCTCGAGGAGTCAGCAGAGCCCAATGGTCCTTACGCAGAGCTGGTGGGTTGCCTCATGTACCTGATGACTTGCACTCGCCCAGATCTCGCATACCCTCTCAGCATCCTGGCTCGCTTTATGGCCACAGGCAGACACCGACCACAGCACTGGTCGGCCGCTTAGAGGGTTTTGCGTTATCTTGCAAGTACATCGGGCATGGGGTAAGTGTTGGGAGGACGCAGGCCAGTGGTCCGTACTGGGCACACAGACGCTTCTTGGGCACACGACGCTGAGACACTCCGGTCCTCCCAGGGCTACTGCTTCAGCCTTGGTTCTGGTGCCATCTCGTGGAGGTCCACTCGCTCTTCGTCTATTGCTCAGTCTAGCTGCGAGGCTGAGATCTACGCCGGTGCCATGGCGGCACAGGAGCTCCGCTCGCTGACCTTCTTGCTCACCGACTTAGGTGAGCGGCCTAGCTCTGCCCCGGTCCTGTACGCTGACAACAGGGCCATGATACTCCTGTGTCAGGAGCCTCGACTTGAGGGCAGAGCGAAGCACATCCAGCTGCGGTACTTCCTCCTGCGTGAGCTTCAGCAGTGTCGCCAGGCCCGTGTAGTACAGTTGGCTTCGGGTGCCAGCACAGCTGATATCTTTAGTAAGGCGCTTCCGCCTAGAGATCATCAGCGGCACTGCTTGCAGTTAGGTCTACTCCCTGTTGACTCTCACTTGCTAGGCCCTTGATTGTGTACTCCTTTCTATTTATACGTTGCGGAATTGTTGTGTCGTACACGGAATGTTGTGAAGTGAAAATTGGTATGTCGAGAAACTGTACCGCGGTATGCAATACCGGAAACAAAGTGTATAACGCGTTTTGTGTTGGGGTTTGTTCGCATCGCAACGCATTTAGACAAAACGATAATCCTTACAAGCAATCACGTTTCGATAGAGAATTTGAGCAGATTCGTAAGTCGTTTTGCAATGTACAACTTAAATGGTCGGTTCTTTAATGCTATGGTCGACTCATGAAACTGATGCAGCACAACACTGATGACGTCAGGGAACAGGGTCCTCAAAAAGAGGATGCTATCATGCACACAGCGTGTTACACAGCCGATATCATCCTCATCCTCGACTCATTATCATCCTTCGGGGTGCTACACCACCACCACCACCAGCAGCACCGCCATCTACTCCTCGTCACCCTTGTTGAAGGCCTCAAGGCGCTTCACCAGGTTGGCCTTCCTCTCCTCGTAGGTCAGCTTCTTCATCTTCCAGCTGCGCACACCAGGATGCCACATCCACGGGACAACCAGCACACGATTCAAGAGATTACACACGCACAACACCATCAACAGAATCAGCACCAGCCACCGCAACGCCAGAAGCCTTGGGACTCAGAAAAACAACCCACCCACAATATAACTGGCATTCGGGTGCACGCAAGAAACCATCACCACCTTGCATCCCCCTAACCCCTCACCACCCAGCCTCCCCCTCCCCTCCCCTCCCCCATACCTGCGCTTCTCAGCGGGCGGCTTCTTCTCGGTGAGCTTGGGCGAGGGGTCGGCACGGATGGCGGCGTGCACGGCCTTGTACATGTCCTCCAGCCCACTGGCGTCCACGCCCTCCGCCAGGAACTTGGCGAAGTGCGACTGGTACTTCTCCGGCTCCTCCTCCTCCAGCATCTGCCATGCACTCACACCCACCTCCACACACATGCACACACACCCACACCCAGGGAAATGACCACCCAGCAAAACAAGAAACCAAACAGAAACAAGAATCAGGACACACGGTCCTTACAACAAAAACCCAGAGAAAATGACACAAAAGTGGGCAGAACGTCGAAGCCTAGCACAGGCGGCAACAGCAGCAGGAGCAGCAGCAGCGCAAGTGTGCGAGACTGACCTCCATGTACTCGCCGACGTGTCCGCCGAAGATGTACTTGCGGTGCACCTCAGCGTCGAGGCTGGCGGACCCGCCCTTGCCGTCGTTCATGTACCCGGGGAAGCGCTTGTCGCTGTGGGGAATCTCCATGCCGCCGTCGCACGCACCCTGCGCGAACGAGAGAGAGCATGGGGAGGCGGGACGAGCGCGCGTGCGCGAGTGAGCGAGAATGAGTGGGAAAGGGGAAGAGTAATGAAAAGAGAGAGGCGTGGACCAAGACGGTGACAGCAAGCAGAGACTTGTGACAAGGATGAAAGCAAATTTGGCTCTTGTGACAGGACAAGAGCAGAAACTGACGCCCACAAGTTCAATCCACTCTTCAGTAGAGTGCATCGCAACAGCGAGCTTCAGACGAACAGGTGAAACATGAAGCACACAGCCAAGACAGATGAATAAGACGGCCGTGCTGGGCCAATTGCTCGGGAGAGCGGAAGGGGGCGGGTAGGTGGGGGGAAGGCGGGAGGGGGGAGGAATTGTAGGAGAAGGGGCCGCTCCGTGGAGTTGCGCACGGACCTTGAGGGCGCCGAAGACGCGGTTGCCCGTGGTGGTGCGCACGAGACCCACGTCCAGCAGCGCCTTGAAGGGGGCACGGCCCTCACCCTGCTCCACGTTGTAGTCCTCTCCCGTCACCTGCAGTCACCGTACACCCACACAACCCCACGCACACACACACACACCCCCACACACACACACCCCCACACACACACACCCCCACACACACACCCCCACACACACACCCCCACACACACACCCCCACACACACACCCCCACACACACACCCCCACACACACACACCCCCACACACACACACCCCACACACACACACCCCCACACACACACACACCCACACACACACACACACACACACACACACCCACACACACCCACACACACACACACATGCCCACCCACCCCCCACACGCATCGCACACGCACCACACAAACGCCACACCGGCACCAACACCCATGCCACCGAGTTGCAAACGCGGAGAGGGCACAGGTAAGGAGAGGGCGCTAATGGCGTGAGCATACCCATGCAGCTCTATGCAAGAGTCAGGTAACCCATCTATCTGGCCCCTTCGACACCACGGCCCACCACGCGACACCGCGCAGGAGCACAACGACCCCTTGCAACCTTAGAAAATAACGGACTGAAATTCGTCTACTAGGAAACAGGCCCAGGGGTTCTAACCACCCATGTAGTCCGCCCGCCTGCCCCATTGCCCTGCCCTGCGCTCTCCTTGACCCCCCGTTTCAACCCCCAGTACAACCCCAGCGTGAGCCCGTGCGCGCGCGCGTACCTCGGAGTTGCCCTCGTACTCCTTGTCCATGCCGAACTTCTGCAGCATCCTACGCGCGCACAGCAGCCCCGTGCAGTACGCTGCCACAAACGCGCACGACGGGGGGCGGGGAGGAGGGGGGAGGAAAGAGATAAGAAACGGTCTCA